TCTGTACCACCAACTGCTTGGCTTCCCTGGCCAAGGTCATCCATGACAACACTGGCATTGTAGAGGGACACATGATGACAGTCAATGCAATCACTGCCACCCAGAAGACTGTGGATGGCCCCTCTGGAAAGCTGTGGCGTGATGGCCATGGAGATGCCCAGAACATCATCCCTGCATCTACTGGCACTGCCAAGGCCATGGGTTAGGTCATCCCTGAACTGACTGGGAAACTTACCGGCATGGCTTTCCATGTCCCCACCCACAATGTGTCAGCTATGGACCTGAACTGCCATCTTAAGGAAGCTGCAAAATATGATGACATCAAGAAAATAGTAAAGAAAGCATCAGAAGGACCCCTCAAGGGCATCCTGGGATACACTTAAGACCAGGTTGTATCCTGTGACTTTAATAGTGACACCCACTCTTCCACTTTTGCTCCTGGGGCTGGCATTGCTCTGAACGACCATTTTGTAGAACTCATTTCCTGGTTTGACAATGAATTTGGTTACAGCAACTGGGTGGTCAACCTAATAGTTCAGATGGCCTCTAAAGAATAAGAGCCCCTTGGACCACCAGCCCCAGCAATAGCACTAGAAGAGAGAGAGAGAGAAAGAGAGAGAGAAACTCTCAGCTGCTGGGAAGTCCATGCCCCAACTCGATCCTCCACACACACCGAGAATCTCACATTCTTGACACAGTTTACAGCCAAGATGGGCTTGGAGAGCCCATTTTTCATGTACCATCAATAAAGTACACTGTATTCAGAAAAAAATGAAATCTTTAAGTAATTCAAAAGCATTCTCCAGAAGAAGAAAATCAGAACCTACAGAATGGGAAAAAATACTTGTTAAAATTCTTCTCGAACATTTATAGACACCTCAACAAGAAAAAGATGACCCACTCACAAAGTAGTCAGAGGACATGAACAGGTATTTCCTCTATTGGTCCTTCAGATGAATACATGAAAAATGATCAAGATCATCAGCTATCATAGAAATACAAGTCACTACAACCCCCCCACTGCTGAATTTGACTGGAATATTAAAAAAAAAAAAGAAATACAAGTCATAATAGTAATAATGACATCATCTCACACCAGCAAAAAGAACAATGTTCAAAAAAAACATTAAATAACAAGCACTACCAAGGCTATGGAGAGATTGAACCTCTCATACGCTGGTGGTGAGAATGTAAAATACTGCAACCACTATGGAAAGCAGTTTGGCGTTTTCTTCAAAAGTTGACAATATGACCATCATTTGATCCAATAATCTGAATATAACCTAAAGAAATAAGAGCTGTGACATGAACAGATATATCCACACCTATATTCACTGCAGCAAAATTTATAATAGCAAAGAGTGAGAAACAACCCAAGTGTCCATCAATGGATCAATGGATCAATGGCTAGAGAAACTGTGTTTTTCACACAATGAAGTACTATTATGCATCACTGAAAAATTATTAAAACTGACAAAATACTGTATAATGGGAGTTGAGTGGGGTAGAGAGCAGGAGGCAGTAGTCGGGGGTGGTAGGAGAAGGAGTAGGTGGCAAATCACTTATAAATGGCACCAAAGCAGGACCCAAAGCCTAAATTCCAAGAGGGTGAGTGAGTGCTGTGCTTTCATGGGCCTCTTCTTTATGAAGCCAAGTATGTAAAGGTTGCCATAAAGGACAAACAAGTGAAATACTTTATACATTACAGTGGTTGGAATAAAAACTGGGATGAATGGGTTCCAGAAAGCAGAGTGCTCAAATACATGGACACCAATCTGCAGAAACAGAGAGAACTTCAAAAAGTCAATCAGGAGCAATATGCAGAGGGGAAAATGAGAGGAGCTGCCCCAAGAAAGAAGACATCTGGTCTGCAACAGAAGAATGTTGAAGTGAAAATGAAAAAGAAAAAACAAAAACACCAGGAAATGGAGATGGTGGCAGTACCAGTGAGACACCTTAGCTTCCTCAGAAGAAAAGGGCCCGTATAGATCCTACTGTTGAAAATGAGGAAACATTCATGAACAGAGTTGAAGTTAAAGTGAAGATTCCAGAAGAACTAAAACTATGGCTTGTTGATGACTGGGACTTAATTACTAGGCAAAAACAGCTGTTTTAGCTTCCTGCCAAGAAGAATGTGGATTCCCTTCTTGAAGATTATGCAAATTAGAAGAAATCTCCAGGAAACACAGATAACAAGGAATATGCTGTCAATGAAGCTGTGGCTGGGATAAAAGAATACTTCAATGTAATGTTGGGCACTCAACTTCTCTACAAATTTGAGAGACCTCAGTATGCAGAAATCCTTGCAGATCACCCTGATGCACTCATATCCCAGGTGTATGGAACACCACATCTACTGAGACTATTTGTGCAAATTGGAGCAATGTTGGCCTATACACCTCTGGATGAGAAGAGCCTTGCTTTATTACTGAACTATCTCCATGATTTCCTAAAGTACCTGGCAAAGAATTCTGCTGCTTTGTTTAAAACCAGTGATTATGACGTGACTCCCCCTGAGTATCATCGGAAAGCTGTGTGAGACTGCTAACACTTGCTTATGTATTTGGAACTCTGTAAACACATTTTTGTTCTTAGTCCTTCTCTTGTACAAATGATGTACTTTGAAAATGTTAGCATGTAACAAAATTGATGTGTGTTTGTTTTCTGTTTGATTATAAAGAGAGAAAATAAAAGTGGTTGGTATATAGCTCCTTTTTCTTTGCTTTTTTTAAAAAAAAATTCAAAATTTGCTTCCAGTGTATTCAATGATGGACAATGGAAAGACATGCTGGAGAGTGTTTTATTGCCTAGCTGACAAAGCTGCTTTTGAATGCTGGTGGTTCTATTCCTTTGACACTACGCACTTTCAGAATATGTGTTAATGTTATATGACAAAATGCTCTGATTCCTAGTGCCAAAGGTTCAATTCAGTGTATATAACTGAACACACTCATCCATTTGTGCTTAAAGTAAAGAGCCCATCCTTTGCAATTCACCTATGTTGTTCCTTAGGCATTTTATCCTTGCTCAGATTGTTGAAGAATGGTGACTTGTTTCATGGTTTTTGTATTTGTGTCTAATGCACGTTTTATTAACAAGATAGACTCAATGCATTGCGTAGCTACAGTTTCTGGACAAGTTGATCTTTCGGTAATTGTTTTTCAGGTCTTCAATAAATTTTTTCTTTCAAACTTAAAGAAAAAAATACTGTACAACATGGATGAAATGAGAACATGGAGATTGTTGATGAATCTTCCACCAATCCTGATGCCACACTTCTCATACAGCCCAGCCTGCTGGATAAACTGTTCTGCATATAGGTTGAAAAGGTATGGAGATAGGACACATCCCTCGAGTACACCCTTCCCGATTTTAAACCAAGCAGTGTTTCCTTGCTCTGTTCTGACAACTGCCTCCTGATCCAAGTATATGTTTCGCATGAGCACAAACAAGTGTTCTGGGATTCCCATTCTTCTCAGAGTTAGCCACAGTTTGTTGTGATCCACAGTCAAATGCCTTTGCATAGTCAAACATAGACATTCCCCTAGTACTCTCTGCTTTCAGCCAAGATCCATCTGACATTAGCTATAATATCCCTGGTACCATGGCCTTTTCTAAACCCAGCCTGCACATCTAGTAGTTCTCTGCTGATGTGCTGTTCCAGTTGTTTTTGGATAATTTTCAGTAGAATCTGATTAGACCATATGAACTAAAAAAAGTAAGAAAAGGATAGCTCCATGAGAATCCAGTTTCACAATGAAGGCATCCACCATACTCTGTGATATTCCAAACCTCTTACTAGAAATGAACAAAACAAACCTATTGTCGTTGGGTTGGAACCAACTTAAAGCTGAGCTGCCAGGTTTTTCTGAGGCTGTAAACGGCACAGGAGGAGACTGCTCATCTTTTTCTACAGAGCAGGTGGTGGATTCAAATTGCCTGCTTTTGGATTGGCAGTGCAACTCTTTATCTGCTAGGCCACCAGAGCTCCTATTATTGGAAAAAACATATAAAATAGGAAATTCTCTGCAGGACAGAAAATGGGTTAGAAGCCCTGGCAACAGTTGGTCAAATGTTTAATTGGACCAACACCCAAAACTCTCAATTCCTAGACTATCCTCACCAATGCCCTCTCTGTCATGTCACCTCAATTACAACATTGTAATTGTAATTGTAGGTACAACATTCTCCTCTGCAGAATGAAGATCTTACTATTTACTTCATCACGGAGGCGGGAGAACCAAACAAGTGGCCAGCACAGTGTCTGTGTTTAAGTCTCAACTTAAAATCAAACGAAACAATTGCTATCACATTGATTCCCACTTATGATGGCTCTCCATCAGGTTTCTGGGGCTGTAAATTTTAACCAGAACTGAATTGCCTCAACTTGCTCTCACAGTGTAGCTGGTAGATTCAAACTCGTGACCTTAGTTAGCAGTCCAACACAGAAGGTACTTTGTCTCTGGGGCTCCTTACTGTCACTTAGGTGTAAAGCAAACATCCACTCACTCATTTAATCATGGCTGTTAATAAGAACTGACTCACAGCTGACCCTGTGAAATTTAAGACTCTAAACTGTCTGGGGGGAGTCTGCCCATCATCTGTCCTAGAGCAGTTGATGGATTCCAACCACCTACCTTTGGGTTGACAGTATAACTTGGTATCCACTAGGGCTACAGAGCTTCCCTCTTATTTTCTCCTTTCAGCAAGTAACATAATAAAACCCTCACTGTCCCTAAGTTAATTATGACCCAAACAATCCTATATGACAATAGAGAACTGGAAATCTTTACAGATGCAGACTGCCACATCCTTCTTCTCTAGTATCTTTTAAAAGGATTGGAAATTGTTGGAATTAATTTCCTTATATTTTAGATTCACAATAATTTATTTTGCAGGCAAATTGGTTTCCCTAAAACACTGACCTAACACAGAATCTAGCCAAAGTAGCCCAGAGTAACCAGAAACTAGAGAACAACCATAAAAAGAGTGAAACTTACTTGAGTTTTGGCTCCCGGCCTTCACTGGTATACTGCCAACAGATAAGCCCAATCAGATCCTGTACCCTGGCACTGGCCATTGTCACCACAGTCATTGGCAGCAGTCTGTCCTGGCTGGAGTGCAGTGGGAGGTAGACGTCGATCTTCTTTGTTGCTGTTGTGCCTACATGACCCTGTGGACAGAGAAAGCATTGAAGTGAAGCAAACAATCAAGGCCATAAAGATCCTATTGAGCCAGAACTATTTCTCTCCAGATTCTGTGTTCAGCATAGTTATTTCTCATTCTTTCAGACCTACTTATGAGCCTGGGATGATACCAAAGGGAATGCTCTGATTTTAAGGGGTTGGGGTTTTTCCCCTGGCTTGGTTATTTTTCTTTATTTTTTTATTTTATAATGGCATCTTGGACCCAGTTCTGTCATGAGGAGAGTAAATGAATACTACAACTAAGATATACAAATTAGAATGATAAACAGAACTAATGCTTGGTGTACAAAAACTTGCTTTTCTACTAGCTCATTATGTCACGTTGGTAAAATCACCATTAGACCTTGGTCTTGGTTGCCCTCCCTGTATTTTTTTTTTAAAAGCATTTTATCACCTCTTTAGACAACAAATAAGGAAGATTAAAGAAGAACATCAGCTTTTGAATTACCGTGTTGGCAAAAAATACAAGTATATCATGGACTGCCAAAAGAATAAACAAATCTGTCTTAGAGGAAGTGGAGAGAGAGTGCCCCTTAGAAGCAAGGAGAGTGAGACTTTGTCTCACAGATCTTGAGCATATAGTCAGGAGGCGCCATGCCCTGGAAAAGGATATCATGCTTGGAAAGGAGGAGGGTCAGCAGAAGAGAAGACCCTCAATGAGACAGACTGACACATACATTGCAACAGTGGCTGAGCACAGCAGAGATTTTTGGGGATGATGCAGGATCATGTGTGGTTTAGACCTGTTGCACACAGGGTCGCTATGAGTCAGAATCAACTTGACTGCACCTAAAAAACCACCACCTTCTCTTTGTGATAATGAAAAACTTGCCAGCCACTGAAGAGAGGGCTTCTTTTAAGGTCTGATGGCTCTTCCCCTCTTTCAAATTAGGATGTGTCTTTCTTAATGTGTTCTAATATACTTGCTTTTTATTTTAAATTTTTTTTTATTGTTCCATATTTTCCCCATCTCCCGTCCCCCTCAACAGCCCTCCCTGCAATGCACTCCTTGTTCCAGACTGTTGTAATACATACAATGTCTAATCATATATTCCTTTTGGACAGTTCTTCCCCGCATCTGATTTAATTCAGTATTCATTACCTACCCACTCCTTTCCCATTCTCTCCATAATGTCTTCTTTTAAAATAAGATATTAAAATAAAATAAATAAATTTTAAAATAAGACATTAAAATAAAACCCCCATGTTTTATTTTATAACAGTGGTATTATGTCATTTTGTGACCGAGATATTTCACTCAGCAAAATGTCCTTCAGTCTCTTCAATGTTGTGTAATGTTTTACGAGTTCACTATTTTTTCAATGTCGCATAATACTCCATTGTATGAATATTGTGGTTATGTGCTATCAAGTTGCCTATGACTCATAGCGACCCTATGTACAACAGCCCTAAACTCTGTTCTATCCTGTGCCAATCTTATTGTCTCTTACACACCTATCCCCATTACCCCAATCAATGAATCCATCCATCTCATCGAGGGTTTTCCTCTCATGTGCTGTTGCTCCACCCTCTCAAGTATGATGTCCTTTCTAAGAATTGATCCCTCTTTGCAACATGTCCAAAGTATGTCAGATGAAGCTTCAGAATCCTTGCCTCCAAGGAGCCGCCAGGTCTCACCCTCTCTAGGAAGAACCTGCTTGTTCTCCTAGCAGTCAATAATCTTCTCCAGGACCACAGCTTAAATCTCCTTCTATCATCTCTTAGTCTAGTTTTCTGATGCATAGAAAGTAATGGCAGACGCAGCACGAGGGCGAGGCCGCCAGCTGGGGGAACGCCGCCGCCAGTCCGGGGAACACACGCCGCCGCCAGACGGGGGAACGCACGCCGCCGCCAGACGGGGGAACGCCGCGAGAGGGACCCAGAAGAGACCCGGGAAGAACAACAGCCAGCCACCTACCACGGAACTCCAGAGGAGCGAAGACTGTGAGACCCCAGAGGAACGAAGACTACC